AAGGAGAGATAAAGAACTTCACAGACAAGCAAAAACTAAAAGAGTTTAGCAACAGTAAACCCATGCTAAAAGAAATATCGACAGGTATACTCTAAATAGAAAAGAAGCAGGATGCTACAAAAATGAGAAACTTTTAACTGGAAAGGTGATAACTACCATTAATTACAAATAGAATAAACACAAAATTGTAAAAGAAGACATCTAAATCATTAAGAGTGGGAGAGGGAAGCAAGGAGAGCCACTGTGGAAAACAGTATGGGGATTCCTCAAAAGACTAGGAATAGACTTACCATATGACCCAGGAATCCCACTCCTGGGCATATATCCAGAAGGAACCCTACTTCAAAATGACACCAGCACTTCCATGTTCATAGCAGCACTATTTACAATAGCCAAGACATGGAAACAGCCTAAATGTCCATTGACAGATGATTGGATAAAAAAGATGTGGTATATTTATACAATGGAATACTATTCAGCCACAAAAACCAACAACATAATGCCATTTGCAGCAACATGGATGTTCCTGGAGAATGTCATTCTAAGTGAAGTAGGCCATAAAGAGAAAGAACAATACCATATGAGATCACTCATATGAGGAATCTAAAAACAAAACAAAACATAAATACAAAACAGAAACAGACTCATAGACATAGAATACGAACTTGTGGTTGCCAAGGGGGCAGGGGGTGGGAAGGGACAGAATGGGATTTGAAAATGTAGAATAGATAAACAAAATTATACTGTATAGCACAGGGAAATATATACAAGATCTTTTGGTAGCTCACAGCGAAAAAAAAAGTGATGATGAAGATACGTATGTTCATGTATAACTAAAAAATTGTGCTCTACACTGGAATTTGACACAACATTGTAAAATGAATATTACTCAATTAAAAAAAAGTTTAAAAAAAAAGAGTCAATTCCTGCAAAAGAGCTTCAGAAAAGGCTTCACTAGGATAGGATCTTAAAGCACGGTCCTAAAAAAATACACTGTAAAAAGAAGGGATTTCAAGTCATAGCAGAGCAAAGCTGGACTTGCATCAAGGCCAATGAAGCAGCAGGAAAGATGTGAAAATAGATAAAGAGATACATGCAATCTTCTTGCACAGTCATTGGGTGGACCCTTGAGGTTGACACAGTTGCCTTCCCCACCTGACGGTGTAAGAGCAGTGAGTGCTGGCCTCCTCTGACAGGCGGCCAACAGTGACTTCAGAACTTCAGATGCACTTCTGTGAGCCCCGCCACTCACATCTCAGATCCTTGACCTCCTGTGTCCACTACACAAACCATTTGTGGCTTCAGCTGCAAGCCAAATAAAAGCAGCATCACACTAATCTTCACAGCAGCCTCTGCAGTCTGGCCTAGAGACGGCTTAGGACACAGAACAGCATATCACTTGTGAGGACGCAAAAGGATGAGCTTTTCCGTGGGGATGGAGAATGAGGAAGACTCTTCTGCCAAGCTAGACAATTGAGATTTTGCCCCTTAACAAGAAGGCATAAACTGTCTTTTAGTGAGAAATAAAACTAGAGCATAATGTAAAAAGTGGATAAGTGACAGATTAAACCAGTGGCAGGGAGACTGGTTAGGACATTAATGCAACAGTCTAACTAATGCAACAGTCCCAGTAAAGAAGATAAATGCCCAGAATTAGGTACCAGACAGAGATGGAAAAAGGAGAGATGGATTTAAGGACATTTCTTTTTCTTTGTCTTTTCTTTCTTTCTTTTTTTTTTTTTTTTTGATTTATGGCAGGGTGTTTATTGTGGCAGGGTTTATGATAGCTCAAACATGAAAAGAATCTAAACAGCCAGCAACAGGAGATTTGGTGAAATAATGATGTAGCAGCTCTGTGAGGGAACTGTATAGGGCCGTTAAAATGGGGGCCCTCCTGATTGAATTACATCCCCTTTCCCCGACCTCTCCGTGGTAGCGTATGTGATCACTGCAGTTTCACATATACTTGCGTATTTCTTGGATGGCTTTCTGCATTTCCCACCTGATGCTAAGCCTCACGAGGGCCAGGATTCTGTCTCTTATTTTCAGTATCAAATGTAAGGGACCTTTCCATCTTTACGTTTATAGGATTCGGTGAACAACTGGATGTAAGTGGTACAAGAAAATGCATTACGGTGTCTAAAGTGGGAAGTTGGGTAAATGGAGCTGCCAAAACAAACTATGAAATATATGACAGGTTCTGGAAAGGTAGGAGAGTGGGGGATCTAGAACGTGGTGGAAGAATCAGCCTTAGACAGGAGGAGGAGGGGCAAGCCAGGCAGGGGATGGGTGTGGAGTGAGGCAAGGGTGGCAGATAACCCTATGCTATCATTTTCTACCTAACTCTTCCTTGGCTGGCATTTTCCAGGGTGGTATCTTTGGTTCTCTTTGGCTTTCTCTCTTTTTCTTCCCTCAGGTGCTCATTCACACCCATGCCTTCAACTATCCTTTACATAACAACTCTCCAATGTCTATCTCAACTTCTGAACTGAACTTATCATACAGAGGTCACCGGGACATCAACACGTGGATTTTTCACAGGTATGGCTAACTACCAAGAGTGAAAACAAAACTCAAATGGAACTCTCTCGAGTAAGAAACTGTTAGTGGTGGGCATGCTCTATTCCCTAGAAGAAAGAGCTGAGAAGCAGAGGGCACAGGTCAGAAAGCGTCTTTGCAGCAATCCATTCCCTTTCTTCTGTATTCCTCGACTCAGAGACCACACTAGGAATACAAAAGGAAAGAGTTAGCGGAAGGATGCCACGTGCATCGAGGCAACAATGAGCATGCTGCCTGGCTTATTCTGTACCGTCTAAGTGGTGTGTGTTTCCCTGGGGGAAATGGAAAGGAAGAAACAAAATCATTCTCTACCCTGTTAATATAAGCATGATCTACTTTGAGATGTTAGAGCAACTGAGAGCATAAGAGGTCTTCCTTATCTTCTTACGTGAGCAATGGACAAAGTAACAGTTCTTCTGTTATTAGTCTTTTCCCACCTTTTAAAAATATTCCTGGTAACATGACTTGTTAAACTCAAGAAAGTTAAAGGCTTAAAAATGACCATGACCACTTGTTTCTGTTTTTCTATTGAGGTGCTGCTTCAAAGGGTAGAGACGTATTTCTAGATGCGCTCTTCTCTTTCCACTGTTGGCTGTTCGGTGAGGCTTGGGTTCATCAGAAACACGTCTCCCAATAGCAGGAGGTGTGGGCTGGCGCTCGCAGACAGCAGTCACACCACTTACCAGAGATTCACTGGCACACTGGAACACGTAACAGATATACTGGCTCAGCCCAGGCTCCGGCGACTCCCGGCAGATAAAACCGAAGTGATCGACATGCTTTATACCCTAGAGAAGGAAGAAGAGCAGTGCTGATGGGATTACGTCCTTTTAACCAACACTGTGGAACCAGTACTGTGCTTTCACACTTGCATGAATTTCTCCTTCACTGCACTGTCACAGGGGACATCGTGTCAGGGCAGACTTCTACAGTGGCCTTCTGATACATAAAATAAAGAGTGAGACCAGCTCAGATTGTTTTGTTTCTGGCAAACACTCTGTGACTCAGAGCCACAGGAGGAAAAAAAATGATGGCATGAGCCACTGTCTTTTGTAATAAAACTGTGTTTGCAAGCCATGGAGTTTGCAATTTATTGGTCTTTAAACAGGCAGTCGGATGATTCATCATAAACCTTGTTCTTGTTTATATGAGGCTGAGAATCATAAAAAATGACACTGTTCTGATTAAATGGCATGCAATTCCCTACTGTGTGCATTAAAAGTACTAGAATATTTGTACTTCTATTTATAGACATTCGAGGAGCCACAATTGTTCGAAGACTAATGCATTAAAGAAATTACTGCAGGTGTCAACTATCCAAATTCACAAATCTACTTCCTGAATACAGGCTAAAAAACCTCAGCTGTACTTAATAAAACATTCTGAATCATCTAAGAATTTTAAGCAGCCTGAATACATACATATCATTTAGTAGACAGCACCTTGATATTTTAATAGCAAGCTCAGTACCTTGAAAAGCCAGGAAGATAAAAAATTTACAGTTGTTCTGCACTCACCTAAATCCCAGTGAAAAGAAAACTTTGGAGTCAGACAGATTTGTGCTTCAGTCTGGGTTCAACCAATCTATGGGGTATGAGAGACTGTGCTGCGTTGCTAAAAATTATCTCTGAGGCTCCATTTCTCGTTATAAAGTAATAGTCATGGCACCTCAGCTCAGAAATGTTTGAGATTTTTAGAATAGAAATATCTATTATAGTTCTTGGTATGTTTGATAAACAGAAACCACTATTCTTTGTAATAATAAGCTCAACCTGTCCAATGGATATGGAAAAAGGAAATTAACTCTGATAAAAAGAAAGAAGTCAATAAAGAGGAATGAGGTTACAATTCAGAAAGTGAAAAGTAAGCTCCATCTGACATAACTCATTCGGGATTAAAGAATTTCTTTTACTGGCTTAGTACTAAATGGGGAAAATCAATAGGACCTTGTTAGCTCAGTGAATTTTCAGGCAGTGGTAATGTTTCCAGTAAAAAGGACCACTCCTTTACTCCTCATGCTTGCCAGGGACACAGTCTTACTGATTTTGAAGAAAGAAACATTTGTCAGTGGAGGTGTGCAGTGTTAAGAGGTGCACCTGTTCCCAAATGCAGCCACCCTCTAGCAGCTCAACTCTGTGGAGGGAAGTCAAAAGAACAGAGCCACTTGGTGGGGAGCAGAGATAAACCCGGCAATTATTCTGACCAAAGGCCTCTGCACAAAATTTCCTCATATTTTTGTTTAATTCTTTTTCTGAACCAGAATGTGAGAAATACAAGCTTGCTGAAGGAAGGAGAGAGAGAGAGAGAG